TCTAAATTCTTCACTCTGGCTTGCAAAATCTTAGGCATAAAAACACTGGACTGTCTTACACTACTCTTGACGATTTTCTTGGTAGAAGGCTCTTAATTTCCATGAAAACTGTTTCCAAGATTAGCCGCACCTTTGCAGGTTCCCTATACTACAACTGGACTTTTCCATTGTCTTCCTTGAATCTGAAGTAGTAAGTTCTAAGTTCACAGCCAGAAAATTCATATTAAACAAAAGGCCAAAGCCTGAACAGAAAACAAGAATTTTCAGGCAGATCAGTATCTAAGCAAACACAAGGATGTTCAGCTGCAGGTGGCAGTGCTAGCACAGAGGTGTCAGATTTCACATCTTTTAGCTTGTACCAATCATACAACATCAAAAGCTCTGTGCTCTCAAGTCACAGATCGATGTTTTCACCTTTGTAAAAATCCGACTCTGCATGGGAAAGTAGCGTAAGTATCAGAATAAGAGTTAACCTCAAATTAAGAATTATTACACTAGTTTCCACAGTTTTGATTTGGGGTAGGTAACTTCTTTTATTTACTTTTTTAAAAAAATCTTTTACTACTCTTTAATGCCAGTGATGGTTCAAAGTAGCTTTGAATAGAAAAACACAGATAAATATTGCGTGCTATTTTGAAGTGCAGAGATTTTTAGATACAGCCAATCACATTTCATACATGCATCTAATTCAGTATTATGTCCAAAGTATATAATTTAAAAAAAATAAAATAAAATGAGTTGAAGTTCACGGTGTGTTAAGAGGAATCTGTATGATTCCTGCAGGGTGGCAGGGGAAATCTGAAGGGTATTATTGATACCCTTCAAGTCAGAAAGGCAATGACTTCCCTAAGTGCAAATTTAAGTCAACACTTGAGAGGACTCCAAATTCCTGTTGAAATCCATAGTTAGCTATAAAGCATTATTTTAACATTAGTTCTTTAGAGGGAGGGAAGGGGAGGAGATGGAGATAAAAGACACTGTTTATATAAGTGCACGCACATGTTTAAACTGAGGCCTTCCCAAAGAATCAAAGAAGTCTTTTGATGTTATATCTTGTCAGTGGTCTGGCAGTAGAGAGGATATGGAAAATGCTGTGTAAATTCATCAATTACGTATCTTTTCAATGAAGAAACATTTCAGAAGGAATAAAGAGATTAGACCAATGACTTTACTAGATTAGTTCATAGTCTGATAGCAGTACAAGATTTACCAGGATTAATAGTTATAAATGGTCTTACAGTATTTTGGACCAACTGCTCATTCACACCTTCAAAAATAGGAAAGCTAAGTATTTTTAGGAATTGTTATTTCAGATTTCATCAGTCTCTGCCCCTGGAAATCAAAGCAGTGATGCCTCCCTATCAAACCTCCTCTCACTCAAGATGTCAGGTTCCATCAGCTGCACAGAAGAAATACAATGCATTAAGTCTACACCGAGTGAGGGTTATGCAAAGGCAATCTGTTTTGAATTTTATGAGTGAGTTTATATACTTTGAAGACAAAGACATAAAATCAACAAATTGTATCCTAGGAGAATTACCGTCATAGCAAAATGAGTATTCTGAAATGGCCATCAAATTAATTTCTCTTCAGCAATTTTCCTTAGGCATATACAGCAAATATCAACTCCCAGGAATACTGCAATAATGTTACAAAGTTCTTATCAATAGCACCATTAGTTTGTGAGTCTGTGCAGTTATACTTCATTTGAAATATAGCAACATTTTACAGCTGGAGTATATGATATCTCGTGTTCACTGAATTGCAGCAGTGGAACCACACAAGATTATTGTTGTAGATTTCTATTGTGATTGACATTCAGAAACTGATTTCTCTGTCAATTCTACTTGTATAAGCTGCTCATTTTCTTCCGCAGAAGTATTTTTCAGGTGGAACTTTAATTAAAAAAACAAACAAACTCCAACCAACAATATAGAAACTTGCAAGCAACAACAGAAAATAATTTAAATTTAAATGCAGTTTCTTAGGAAAAAACACAAAAGCAAAACAAAAGCAGAGACATAGACACGCAAAATACAAATAAGCATAGGCCTCAGAAGTGATGGAATGCACTACTAGTGCTATATAGCAGTTCAGTAGACGAACTGTATTTTATTGACCAAGGAAAGAAAAAGTGCAAGTAAGAAAACAGAACTGTCACAGTGGATCAGGCTAGTGCTTTGACTATTGCTTTATCTACCAGTATGCATTACTGCCTTCTCAAGGGGCCTTACTGCAACAGTAGGTAAACTGGAATGAATACACATAATGAAGCCTTCTCCTAGGGCTCAATACTTATTACTTTTCTTGACCAGCAGAACAAGTGCTTCCAAACCTTGTACATTATTACTTACAGATGAAATTAATCAGTATTTTATTAATCCTTTCAGTATTTTTACATAAGCACCACATTAAATGATTTGCCAAAGCTATTTTTTCTTTTCTAACCTCAGTCTCTGTCTTAATCTTACTTATTAAAATAAATGTTAAATTTAAAAGGATCAGATACTGTTTATAATTTTTCAACAGTTACAATTCAGAAACTTTGTTATCTTCTAAGGTTCAATATCATCATATAGTTCAGATGCCCCACCTTTCTCTGCTGAAATGAAAAGTTTAGCAAAAGTTGCAGAAATTAGAAAAATACAGAAATCAGAAATCAACAGTTAAAAACTAGAAAATACATTGCACAAATATGAAAAGTAAAATTGACAGATCATTGATGCATTTCTTAAAAAAATTACCTTCTATGTTTCCAGTGTACTTCTGTTGATGTTTTTAAACACTGGCATCGATGCTGGGACAGGATGTTACCACATTGAGGATCAGATACAAAGAAAGGAATTCTTAACTTGAATCAATTCCTTATTACTCTTTTTCTTACTCTTTCCCAAACTGAGAAATTTAAACTTAGTTTTATACTCGAATATATTCATATAAATCAGGACAAATCCAAGTTAGTATTTTCAATTTAAACTAATACAAATAAAAGTCTACTGACCAGAAAATTTACTATTATTTATTAGATGAAAAACACAGAATTACATTCTGGCTCAGTTATTTCAAAATAAAAAAATACTATCAAAAACAAGTGATAGATTTTTTTTAATACATAGATAAATTTTATCACAGTACTTTCACTTTAATTCAGAGTAATAGAATAAATTTACATGTGCAAGTCTGTAAGGGTCACATGCTCAAGAACACAGTTTTTAAGTGACTATCAGTTAAGAAATGAAAGCAGTAATTATCAGATATTTGAAAGAAAAGGGGCCTTCCCATCCTAATTCTTAATTTCACGTGTCTTCTAAAGTCATTCATTCAGCTTGAACAGTAAGAAAGAAACCAATACACATTTACTTGGTTTCAAATGACTTATTCCACCATATACCACTCATGAGCATCTCTTCTAATGCATAAAGGTATCCAGATAACACCAACAAAGTATTTTGCATTAAAGCTGACAGTTACTAACAAACTGCAAAACTTCTGTGAAATCTACATTCTGAAACTTCCAGTCTCCAACTGGCTTTCTGAAATAGGACAGAAAAACTGAATTCAAATTGTCTTTTTTCATGTAGAAATTTCATCCTCATAATTAAACCCAAAGAATTAATGAAAACATCATGAATTCCTATTCCTTGATATCTGAAGCTGAGTCAATAGCTTACAAAAAAAGAAACTCATTACCGTTTCACACTGGCAATATATTCTTAGAGAAGAGTGATCCACTAATAATTTTTGTCAGTTGTCCTAGAGAAAAGGTTACACAGGTGAAGATATAATTTATTTGGGTTCTAAGGATATTTTAATTGATTTGACAGAATAAGTACAGACTATAGGACAAAGCTTTAAAAAAGCGAACAAAAAAAAAAAATTTCAAGATCACCACCTTGCTTCCACTCGTCTTCCTTCCTTTTGCAGTTCTAGTGTGTGTCTGAAGGTGGCAGCAATTGTTTATCATTACAGGCTCAGAATTCAGGTTTGTTTTTGTTTAGTTTTGTTACTAACAATTTGTGTAACACAACAATACCTCAGATTAGATGCATTCCAGTGTCACTACCAGCACATTAGAAACATACAGAATTGAAAAGCATTTCCTACTATAATAAGTAATAATAATAATAAAAAAGACAACTCTCCTCCTGCCTTTCTTTTCTTCTACAAAGCATTATCTAGAAACCTCATGTAAGGCACAGATAGGTCTCTTCCCTCGAGAGAGGAACTTGTAATATTTAATACAAGATAACACTGGGAGGAATCTTATACTTACAGTCTTTCCAAATTTGAATATGCTCTTTATTCTAGGAATTAGAATTAACCCAAAGTTTCACTTGATCACATTATCACTATACTCAATATCACAGTCATTTGTTTATTTTTACTCAGTGCGGGAAGAATGTTTCCACTAGATACACACATTTTGAAGTTTTAAATATAATGTAAACCAAAAGCTTTTGAAAATGATGGGAAGATTAGTGAAATAGGAAGAAAGAAAGGAAGCTTTTTTTTTTTTTTTTTTTTTTTTCTAACCTGATGTCCCCTCTAGGATTCATTGTGAAATGTAACAAAAACCTTCACGGATTTCTGCCAAAATCAAATTAAAGGAGTTGACCTCAGCTTATGGGTCCTTTCCAACTCAGGATATTCTATGAAATTTCAAAATCCATATAAGAAATTTAGTAATAAACACTTTGGGGCACGCTTGTATAAATTTATACTGTAGAGAAGTCCTCTGCTGCTGTGGGTAGAAAGAAGGTACTCTCAGAAGATGAGTAGTGAATACTACCTCTTAAACTAAATATTTGAGAAACAAAGACATTGGAAGAATTTGAAGAGATGTTTGATGGTGAAACCTACAATTTCATTACTGTTAGATTAGCATATTCAGACTCATGATATCAAAGTATAAATAAGCACATTTAAGCACAGAATAAGTCACATGCAAACCATTGTTTCATGTCCACATGCTCAGAATACTCCAGTTTCAATTGACTTACCTCCAATAATTTTAGACTGGCAGTTGATAAATTCTGGCTTCTTGTCTGTAAGATATCGCTGACATGTGTGATGAAGAATCTGAAAGAATGTGCATTTTTCTGAAGCAGTGCTTGCTACCCATTGGTCAAAAGCATTTTCAAATACTAAATCAAATTCTGGCGAATCCTAGAAGAAAGAATACGCAACTGTTATTCCAGTTTCATGAATGATTTGAAAAAAAGATTTCCAAAATGATTTTGGAAAAAAAAATTAAAAAGCAATTATGTTGGAAAAAACAAACAAACAAACAAAAAAACCACATGAAAATCATGTAATTTCATATCACCCCAGCATTATTTTTTCTCCTGTATATTTCTGATAAAAACACATGCGGGAATTATTTTCTTTTGTATTTTTAATGAGGAATATTCAGCTAAGAAAAGAAATACCTGAAGACAAGAATATTTTAGATCAAATTACTAGAAGTTGGAATCTGTTAAGAAATTCTTCTTAACTACAGGTATGTAGCTACTTTTACCTTCTATATTAACACAAGGATTTTTGTTTAAATATGTTTGGCCATTCAGTCTAAAATATATTCTCATGCTGCATTACAGTAAATATGGTTCTGGTCTCTATATTTACCCAAAGAAAGAAACAGAAAGCACTAGTCATTGTATTTAATTTATTATCATAGTGTTGTATAGATCTCAGGATAACAAGAACAAAAGATCACTTTCAGAACCAAGTAACCTCCAGCTCTGTGCCTTGCAACGGCTGCCAAAATTGATGGATTCTACGAAAGCTGTGATGCTATACGCTTAGCAATATTTGCTAAAAATCCTTTTGTAAACGAATCCAGTAAATATTATTTTTAATCAATGACACTGAACTATAGAATAGTAAGTCTGAAAGGAATGTCTAAGCTGAAGAACTTGATAGGACTTTGACACTGAATGTATCTCCAGATGCTATTTATAGAGTTCTTTTGTAGATTATGTGAAATATCTATATCTATATCCATATCTATGTCGTTATTCTCATTTTCACCATCCCTCTTATCCAAATAAAATTCTGCTTCCTGCTTTTCACTTAGCAGTGGCCCAAGAACTTAATATTTGTTAGCAGGACTGTACTAAATTTGGTGCACCACTAAGATGCTTATTTGTTTGATCAGAACACAACCCTGAAGAAACCAAGTGCAGTTAACCATGAACATTCTGCTGTACAATGAATGCAGTAAATAATTTTGTTATCACACAATATTAGTCACATTGCTACCTTCTAATTTTGCTGTTTGACTACTGACGATTTGCATTTATAAACACGTTAGTACAATTTTTCCCCAAGAATTCAAGTCAGACTGCATATTCCACATTAAAAAAAACACGTAGGCAAAAATTCTGGAAACAATTCCAAAACTACTGAGTGGGTTTTTTGTTTGTTTGATTGATTTTTGTTTTAAATCAGTGGTCATGTGACACTGGCAGCAAAGGTACACTACAGCCTTTTGTGGATAATCAGGGTGTAGGAATCTGAGGAGTGGACTGTCCTGGGAAAAGGTTCACAGTATTTCCAGAAACTTGAACCTCAGTAACCCCTCCTTTCTTTGTTTCTACTTACTGCCCTTACAACACAGCTGCATGCCAAAATGGAACCCAAGAGGCTTATAGTTGAAGACAAGACAAACACAGCTCTTATTTTTCTCTTTAAAAGAAAAGACAGAGCAGGGAAAAGAGTACGGGAGACAAGAGGGAATAAAGAAGATATCTGCTTACGAGCTTTGGCCTCTTCTTGTCTTTCCCATTAAAATCTATTTTATGTACTCCACCAAATAATTTCTTGTTTGAGAATTTGCACTTAAACCTGTCTCTTATCTTTCCATTTGCCTTTTGAATAATGAAAGACGCTTGTTCCAAAAATCAGTTGTAAGACCTCAGTTTCATTTTTCTAGAACTGTTCAAACTTACCTGATTAGGATCAATACCGTTGACCTGGCGAAGCTGCTCAAGCATCCACTGTGTTCTCCTAACAAATGATGTAGACCCTTCAAATTGCTTGACCTTTGTAATAGTTGCTTGAGCTGGTTTTTTGTTTGTCACTAAACACATAAAAGAAAAAACATGCAACAGTAATGGGCTGAATTTTTCAGAAGCGTTCTGTTTAGTTCAATGTATCAGTTAGGTTAATGGTTCTGTAATAACATATATATATATATAATATAATATAACCATAATATAACCATGTATATATAAAAATTCTATAAGGTCCGCCAAAATTAAAAACCTATTGCTAATTCTGACAGTAGAAAGCATTCTCTTTCATAGATAACTTAGTGAAAAGTATATTCCTTATGAAAGATGACACAATGCCAAACAGCTGTTATATAACTCAAAATTAGGTACATTTCAGCTCATGACAGGTTAAGTTGCCAAGTTATGTTATTTCCAAAACACATTTCTATTTCCAGTGAAAAGATGATTTCTAGAAGCACTGTACTGCACAATCTACTAAAATTGGTCTGTCACTCATTTTTTCAGAATAAAACATATTTCTGTTCATTTTATATGATCCTCCATAAAGAGTAGCATTGGGAATGCCCACTTTTCTCTTGGCTTTCAAATGTTGGCAGTTAACAAAGACTTTTTAAGTAATCAAGTCTTAAATAGTAAGATTAACTCTTTTTGTATACTCCTGTTACCCACATTCTCAGGAAAACTAACAAGACAAATCTGAAGGTATATACTGCATAAACTTTTGTACTCAGAGGACATATATGCTGTAAATGTTGATGTAGTGATCAACATTCCACAGAATTAAAAAAGCTGACATTGTTTTTCAGGATGAAAGTTTACTATTGCACAGGTCAGTGACTTGATGTTAAAGGTACTTTAGAATGGAATAGCAAATTCATATTAATATGAAAAAATCTTTTTAATATCTCAGAAGTATTCTTTTAAATTGAGACTGTGGATGTAAAAGCCCAAGAATCTTCATGAGAACTTGTTTTTAGAAAGAAATTCACTTTCATGAAAAATCCAGTAGGTTAAAAAATAATTAGATATTAACATTTCACATAACAGATAACTGTTTATATGGAATTACTTCAGACTAGAAAACACGGCTGGATTCAGTATATTGACTGGACTATTCATGAGAATATAATTATCATTTTATATATATATATATTATATGTATATTTATATATATTATATATAGAACAGAAGTCTCTTAGTCAACAGCCGAAAACATTGTCAGATCTTAAAGAGAGGAAATCAGTGTAGTATACCAGAAAGGTAGTAGCAAAATTAGATAAGAGCTATCAAAATGCAAAAACTAGAAGTGAGATAAGTATTAAATATCAGTTGATTTCTCAATGGTCTGTATGTTCAATTGGACCACTCTGACTTAAAGAAAAAAGTTACCATAAGGGGTTCATTGACTTCAGGCTGTACTGGAATATTTTTCTGCAAGAAAAACAGCTCAATTGAGCTGCAAAAAGCAAAGCCTAACAATTAAACAAAACAGAGATGACAGGCACCATACCTGTACTTACACTGTACAGACAGATTCTGCTTTTACTGCAAGTTTTCAAGACCATGAAGTAGAAAACAAACAGTATTACATGAGCACAACACAAACTGTGGTCACTAGCTTTCTAAATTAATCCTTTTTGATATTTACTCACATCTTTTTGTCAACACCTGTGTTAATTTTGGCAGACTGAATTCACTGGGCTCAGTTCCACTTATCTTCTACACAAGGCTGACAGAAGAAAGCTATCTAAGAGTGGCCTTAATTTTAGCATCCCTGCGGTATTATCTTTCTAAAGAGATCAGGCAATATTCTACTGCTGAATTACCCACTTGTTAAAAGAAAAAACTGTGCATACAATATGTAAGGCACATATAGGATTAATGCTAGCAGTACTGCAAAACAAAACATTCAAAAATTGGAAGAACTAGACAAAACAATTACTTATGTGTGATGAAATGGTTTTTTTTTTCCTTCAGAATCTCACGGATAATTGATTATGAGGCTTACTTTGAGCTTAAACTTGATTTCAACCAACTGCTCTGAAGAATTCTACATGATATACTTTCTAGTGCTTTTGAAAACAGAGGTCATTTACTATTTCAAGTAGAAATATCAGATTTTACAGACTTGATGGTGAGACGCAGGATGTAAAAACTCCGTAGATTGCTCAGTTAATACATATTTACTATTTGAATAATCTAATTATTTACATTTCTCTACATAGCCCTTTCAACAATGAACAGCTTTTCCTTCAACTTTTCAGTGAAAGCCTATTCTTCAGCTACTCTCAACAATTCCTCTTAGAAAGAAACAGTTTAAAAACAAAAATGAAAACTTGACTAGATGACTGGTTCTATATCATCCATACAGTCAGCCTTGAAGAGGCTTTGTCGTACAGAAAAATTTACAGCACTCTTGAGCATCTCAGTCATTGCTTTAAATAGAAACACAGCCTGAAGTCAGGAGCTGTGACACTCCTGGAATACTAGCAGTTCTCCCTTTAGGTCTCTCACTTGTAGTTACTGTGTGCAATGAAACAGACCTAGTTGCATTATACCTTCTTTATCTAGGCATTTAAGGAAAAGAATGGAATTTCTAGAACATTCTAAAAGCAGCTACCCAAAAGACTACCAAATATGCTTTAAAAATCTTCATTTATCCCATAACAGGTTGACAGTAGTGTGGCAGTCATCAAAGACAGTCATTAAAGACGCTCCAGATTCTCAGACTCCCTGGCATCTGGAAGAGCAATGCTCACTGGCTGCCTTGCAGAGAAGCCACAGAGTATGCCTTAAATTGCAAATATAAGAAGGAAAAAATTGGAAGCAATTACATTCTTCCAGACAAGACATGCAGACATATTTACTGAATTTGTCACAATCTTTATCTACCTTAATAAAAGACTGTACTAAAATCATGTTTTGATTTTAGTGATTTTTCATTCTGTGCTTGATTTTTTTTCTAGCAGAACATTAATCCTTCAAAATATCAAGTTGTAACGTGCACAAAGAACTCTTATTAGATATTATTAGATTCAGTAAAATAGATTTATTTATACATTTAATTGAAGGGAACATACATTTATTAGTAAATTAAGAAAATGTCTGAGAAGTCAACTTACAGCAATTAATGATGGAACAAATTAAGGGCTATTTTACTTAAAACAAACAAACAAACAAAAAACACAACAAAACAAATAGAAAAAAAAACCGAACATGCAGATGAAAACACAGCACTAGATTAACAAATAATCAAAAAGCAAAGAGCCAGAAAGAGCATTACTTCCGAAACTAAAGACGCTACTATTTTGCATCACAAAAATACATCACAGCGTTGTTTCAAAGACAGGTGAAATTTAAGAGGGATGCCTTTAAGTGAAATTATTTTTCAAAAGCAAATTAGAAAATAAGAGGCAGAAAGAATTAACTTTAAATCCCCCTGTGAGGAAGCCAAGAAAGTCACTGCTTTAAAGATCTGAAGAACTTTGAAACACTTATTTGAAATCCAGACATAAGTTAGAATTCTGTACAACATGTGGCTGGAATCTTAAGCAACTAATCAATATAGCTTTTCACAATGAAAGCTAAGGGAGATGAAACTAATGGTCTAAAATTCATTTCATCTGCAGTCCAGAATTCTTTTTTTTTTTTTTTTCACCTGTGCTTGAAGTCTTGATTCTGGATATCTGAGTTCAGTTTTGAATTGTCTTTAAATTTGGATTACTACGTATGCTAAATAACTTTTAAACTCTTTAAGTAATTAGTACTCATAGGACGAATGGTTTTTTTGCCTCACGAAATTTCCAATCATATTGTAGCATGTATCTAAAATCCTTAGTGACTGAAATAACTACTGCAGGGATCACGGAATCACAGAACTGTAGGGGTTGGAAGGGATCTCCAGAGATCATCGAGTCCAACCCCCTGCCAAAGCAGATTCCCTACAGCAGGTCGCACAGGTAGGCATCCAGGCAGGTCTTGAACATCTCCAGAGAAGGAGACTCCACCACCTCCCTGGGCAGCCTGTTCCAGTGCTCCGTCACCTCACTGTAAAGAAGTTCTTGCGCACATTTGTGCAGAACTTCCTGTGCTGCAGTTTCTGGCCGTTTCCCCTTGTCCTGTCTCCACTCACCACTGAAAAGAGTCCGTCCTCGCCACTCTGTCCCCCACACCTTAGATATTTATAGACCTGGATCAGGTCCCCTCTCAGTCTTCTTTTCTCAAGGCTGAACAGACCCAGTTCACTCAGCCTTTCCTCATAGGAGAGATGCTCCAGGCCCTTCACCACCTTTGTGGCCCTCTGCTGGGCTCTTTCCAAGAGATCCTTGTCTTTTTTGTACTGGGGAGCCCAGAACTGGACGCAGTACTCCAGACGAGGCCAGATAAATGGGGGATAAATGAGGATAAATTAATGTACAAAGTCTTGAAGCAGTTAGTGATTGTTGCAACTGTTCACATTACAGCATGGTTATATTTATTTAATAGCTGGATACTACACAAGTGCACAATTGTTCTTAGAGATTTTTTAAGTAGTTCAACTTTTTATTGCTTCTGTGTCTCTTGGTCTTGAGAAAAAGAAAGTAGTGCAAATGAAGATCACTTTCATTTGTAAGACTGACAGACAGAGGAATCTACTGAAGTTACTGGCTATATGTGTAGTTTAATCCAAAACCACCCAGCAATATAATGTTCTGTCTCATCCTGTAGAGTTGCAGTATATAATAATATATAAATATAATAATATATATTTTATATATAATATTTATTTATATATGCACATATATATATAGTATTATAATAATGTAATATAATAACCAGTAATGAAATTTGTATAAAAATAGTTGTCAATAATTAATGACAGAAAAAAAATAAGTCCTATAAAATGCACTCAGGAGAGTCTAAGGTGACTCCAGATTTTATCAGGAAATAGATAAAATGAGCTGTTAATATTACTGGCACAATTAAAAGAAATTTTTTTCACAAGCCCATTCCCAAAAATAGAAAGTAGGTTACAAATAGACTGTGAAAGAAATCATTATTCCTCCATACTTTGCAGTTCTCCAGA